TACTTTTTTATTAATATGCTTATTTTAAGAAACTGAAAAATGAGTGAATATATAAAAAATTTACTTTTTTTAAAATTACAAATTCTTGGCAGCTTTTTACAAAAGCATTACAAAGGTTTTCACTAGAATGGGGTCCACAAAGATCTATAAAATCAAGTAAACTATCTTGAAGCATCCAATCTTTGGTAATCCAATGCATTGTAATGGCTAAAAATCCATAACCATTTGTAGACGTTCATGCATCTAGAGCAAATTAAATTTTGCCTGAAATATTCTGTTAAAATATAAATACAAATGTATAAAATATATAAGTTTAAAATAATATATTATTTTAGTGTATATTTAAAAACTTACTTGAAATAAACCTTTTCTTCTTTCTTTTTCTTCTTTATAACATTCTATAATATCCTTTTTTATTGTGTCTGCTGTTGGAACTATTGCATCTGGGTTTAACATTTTTATCATACACTGAAAATGCTGATTTTTAGATGTCGTAAACAGTTGATCATCAGAAACTACCCATTTAGTAAGAGAAGTACGAAATCCTGTTTATGTAAACTACATTTAAGAATAAGAAAATAATTAAAATATAGTAGCTTTTTAACATGTAATTGATTGCTACTTACTTTAGGTGGAATTTCTATTTGACCTACAAATCCATCTAATGTACTTTGACCTTCAGCTATTAAAATTTTAGCTTTTTTTGATTTTGGATCTTTATCTGGGTGGTATTTCTCTAAATGATGCTAAAGATTGGTTGTGTTTGAGTCACCAATTTTTCGTAACCAAGTTTTTTTATCTCTAAAGTTTTAAAAAAGAATTATGAAATACTATACGAAGTTCCCAATATTAAGTATATATTTTCAATTAAAATTTTCCATTTTAAAATTTTTACTTACGAACAGTTAAGACACCTAACTTCACGGTGTGAATTCGCATTTTTATGCTCTGATGGAAAGTCTTTCTCCTCAAAGAGATTATTAATAAAGAGCTCACTACGCAAACTTTTTCATTTTCCAAGTTGAGGTACTGGTTCATATTTATATTTTCACAAATATAAGTCACAAACAAATTAAAATTTAGCGCATGGAAAAAAAATATGACAAACAAAACTAAAATTTGGTAAATTTTTTTGTGTGGGAAAATACATGCGTCATCATAACATTATCTCGAGTCACCTGGATTGTTCTGGGTCAAAGCAACAGTAAGACCCTAACCCGATGGGTCAGGTCATGCGTGTCACAAGTCATCAAATTTATCAATCCTGACTCGATTTAAAATCTGGGTCAGGTCGATCACCCGGGTCTGACCTGACTCTTTCAGAGCACAAGTACTGTATATACACATAAAACACGCACGTTTAAAATTTCAAACATTTATTATATTTTTTCTTAAAGTAATACATGAGAAAGGGTTGGCCGGCTAAGAAAAAATGATGTTTAGCTAGGTAAATAACAACATCATTGCTATGCGATATTTCCGCCCTCTGTTGATGATTGAGGATTAAAAGTAGCAACCTCATATGATGGTGACTGGACGGTTTCTGCCGTTGTGTTAGATCCTTCAATATTTCCCAGATTCTCTGCATCATCATCCTCATTACAAGGTAAAGGGGGAGCAGGGGATGGATTATGAGCTGGAGATTCCGAACGTGTACGACCTCTTTGATTGCTTCGGCTCTGACTTCTTCGG